TGACTGATTTTGTGGGAGGAGCTGAACAGCTCAAATGATTCTTTGTAAACTGTGGAGGTGACAGGAAGTACAAACATTTTCACACAGATGTGCCAGCTGTGTTAACTCCTCCATGTTCACAGTGTCCACTAGCTTCCACGCACCTACATATACATGTGTTTTATGCGGATGCACCCTCACTGAGTGAGGCTCACAGGAGCTGAACACTGTGACAACAGGGAACTAGTTTCTCTTGTAGCTTTAATTTATTATTAAAGATAAGCTGTTTGCTCAATGAAACACAGATCTGTGTTGTTGTCATCCAGGCTGACGTTTGGGGCTTCTGCTTGGAGCTATTTTCAGTTATGCATGTAACTGTAGGCTGCAGCCAGTTATCATGGCGGCAAACAGGAAGTGAGATGTATCGTTGGTTTCAGAAATGTGACTTCAGACTTGTTTAGATGCTTTGGGCTGGTTTTGGACTTGTCTTCAGACATTTTATTCTTTTGTGTTCTTTAAAACAGAACTTAAAGTTATTCTGTAAATGTGTGTTCTGTCTCGGTGTAGTCCCAGTTTGGCCTTCGCGATGGTTCGGACTGGTGGAAGGCTCAGTATAGGTCAGTCTGTGTGGTGCAGGGCGTTTGTTCTCCAGCAGCATGGGGTTGAGTGAAGAATTCTCCTTCGTGGTTTTAGTGATAAGAATCTTAATAGCTCTATAAAAAGACTCACAAGCAGCCTTTGATTGGTCTATTATAAACTCCATTGATTAGTAGAACATGATCTCCTCCACAGAAAGAACAGATCTGTGTCCTGTTTCTGAAACATCCTCCTTCCATCGTTCCTCCGGGCTGTAACCTGAGCCAGCTGTGTAAGGAGAATATCTTATATTTTTATTAGAGGATAAGTGTAACTTCCTCCTGTGAAGTGCTTCGGATACCAAAACCTCGCTCTGCCCGGGGTTAATCAGATCAACCCGAGTGCTGCTGATGGGATAATGGAGGGAGGTGATGGAGTGATTGGTTGGGAGTCGAGGTGGAGATACGATCACTCTGTCCTGACCCAACAGAAATGGCTTCCTGTCAGGGCGGAGTTTATCTGCCAGCAGGAGACATGGGGCTGAAGATCAGAGTGCTCATTAATA